AGTTTATTTTCAACCGTTCACTGTCCAAAGTGATGTTGATTAGTCCAGTAGGACGTGAGGGAGGAAGGGGTGGGGTAAGTGTCTTGTGACAGAAGACAAAACTAGAACCAGTGCCCTACGAGTTTCGCGTCAGCACGAATGCATAAGATACGTCAGATTACTTTGCAATGTTTCTGACGAAGACTCGACATATTCTTTCTGTCTGGTATTTGCTTTCGACCATAGACTATCAGAACGTTCGTTCAACCACTACGCATGAAGCGAGAAACTGACTCGGCAGCTTGAGGATAGGAAACAATTTCTTCCTGTAGGATCCTGTAAGATGTCATCTAGGTGCAAAGCAACATCTCCACTGTTTAACCGACTGCAGCACGCGGGCTCAGTCGGTTTTCCGCGCTGTTGGGATTTCGGCGTAAGCCTTTACTGTTACCCACGAGTGTTCTACCTGTTGTTAACAGCAAGCTAAGATAATTTCTCTATTTGCAGTCTCTAATCTATTGGGTGTAGAGACTCGCTGCGAAGACAATGTCTCTCTTTATCATTGTTGATGTTTCTTCCATTTTCTCTCCAAGCTTTGGATCCCCGATAATACGAGCTGCATTTCTGACGTCACGACAAGTCTCGTTCAGTCGTTGAATACATCGAACGATAATTCCTGAAAAACAAAAGTAACAGCAACTAACAAGAAACCTTATTTTCCGTTATTTTGAGGTTTAGTAAGGTACAGGGGAAGGACGCTAAGAGTAAACTACTTCCAAAAAAGTTCGGGCAATTTTAATTTCGGACAAAAAAGTGTCCGAAAATAAAACCGTCCGAAATTTTTAAGTGTACGGAATATTTACAGTAGTTAAATTTATAAAGCAAACTCTAGTTAAAATACTGCTTGAGATACGTCAGGGAATGGTTGATTTTTTTCTCGTCGGTATATATGTAAAACCTTGAGGAAGCAGTTAAGCCACCATTTTGACAAATGCTGTTTGTAGATGTAAATTTACTTGATATACGTTTCAATAACCTGTCCGAACTTTTTGCGTAATGTCAGTTTCCATAGTGTGAAACAACTAGCAGTGTTTCTACTCCTTCCACATGGGATGCTAGTCCTGACATATTTCAGGGTGTCCAAGCAATTTGTCGGAATCCATTTACACATTTAGAGAGACGCAGTGTGAGGGCCCATTTTAGTCGAGATAACGACACAGACCGTCAGCGGCCTGGATGAGAAAATATTGACCTGCCAGATTCAGAGAGACCTGCTGGGTCTACAAGTACCTCATACGAATACCTATTGTTATAAAACAATCGTTAGGACATATGTTCCCGGGATTTTTTTTTATTAATTTCGCCATTAGGCCACAACGCTTCCAGTAACAAGTAGTATAACTTTAATGGTACCTTACATGATTACATGAGTGCCTGGACCCTGCTGCCCTAGGTAGACAATGAACATCATAAACCCTACCTTCCTGGACGTCTGTCAAGTTAGTTATTTCAGAGAAAGGCATTCCTCTTGCCCATTCAAACACAGCTTCCACTAAACCAAAGCGGTATTGTTCTTTAAACTCTTGTACTGAAGTACTGAGACCACACTCGGACTGCAAGTTAGCGATTTGTTCTGCCATATTTAATATGCACTCCTTGCCCTGATAAAGTAAAAATTGAGACTCAAATTAGTTCAGAGGGCTAATAACCGAAATCAACTGATCAGATAGAGCTCCATCCGGCCTTGATGCCTCATTACTTCAGCCTGCGTCTCAGACAGCTTACACCCCCGAGGATTTTGTGACACGCCGACTGCACCGCAGACGACATTACTTCAAAGCTACATTCCACTACCCTGTTCGGGGTGTTCGGTTAATTTAAGAGCACCGAAAAAAA